TGTTATAACTGAACAAGGTAGTGACCAGGATTCACAACTTGTGTATATACACTTGAGATATACAACGCTCCCTGCCCCTCCCTGTGTATATACACTGAGATACCCCCTTCCTTATGTGTATACACTGAGAAATACACCCTCCCTGTCCATATACAATGAGAGACACCCCTCCCTGTGTATATACACTGAGAGATAAACACTTCCCCTTCTATGTACACTGAAATGCACCCCTTCATGTCTATATATACTAAGAAATATACCCCCTCCCTGTATTTATACACTGAGATAAACCCCTCTGTGTCTATATACACTGAGAGATACACCCTTCCCTGTGTCTATATACACTGAGAGATACACCCTTCCCTGTGTATATACTCTGAGAGATGCACCCCTCCCTGTGTATATGTGCGTGTATGTGTGTGTTTCTTGTTTCCTTGACGTGTAGCTGGGTGGCGCATGTGGCGAAGCGAGTGAGCTCGTTCAGTGGGCTCCAAGCTGAGCGAGGCCCCACATGTTACAACGTTGGCTAATTTGGTTAGGCCAGGCCCCTCAGGACACACACCCCTCCACACCTATCCCAGGAGAAGGTGGGGAGGGGGACGTCTATCCACCTTTCCCACCCCCCATCCCCTTCTTTCCTCACTCAAGAACATGGCCCCCTCCTTCTCCCCTACCTATCAACTTCTTTCACCCACAAACTGTTGGCTTCCTGTTTTTCTCTCCTCTGTGGTGTTTGGATAGGGTGCAAACCCAGGGCTGCTTCAGTGGTCTAATGTAGTGAGTATGATTTCCTCTGCTCTCTCTCTCTCTCTCTCTCTCTCTCTCTCTCTCTCTCTCTCTCTCTCTCTCTCTCTCTCTCTCTCTCTCTCTCTCTCTCTCTCTCTCGTTGCATGAAACAATGTCTTTGTCTTGCGTAAATTTTTTTCCTTCACATTTTTGTTTCTCGAGACCGTGTAGGATAAACCCAAATAATTTGGCGTATTTTCCCCTTCCTTGGATCAAACTTGAATATTTTCCGTTTCCTAGGTGCTTCCCTCTGATTAAAAGAAAAATACTGAATGGCTGATGTTTCTTATTAAATGGATGAAATGTTATTTGGGAATAGACTGTGTGTGTAGGTGCAAATTTCTCCAGTAACATAGTAAAGTTGAGATTCGTGTATTCTGTGGAATAACTGGGGAATGCATGTTCGGGTCGGTTTCAAACTTTTAGTACTTATGTATTTTCCTCAAAGTAAGATTTCTTTCCTGATTGTAAGCTTTCTTTTGATTTTAGGCTGTTTAAGTTTTAATTTGTCATATTAAAAAAAATTACAAAAATGGTTCTACATGACCATAATTTTTAAAGGAGTGGACCGGTAAGCCAGCGGAAGGCCTCGGTCAGATGACCAAAAGCTCCAAAGGCGGGTCATCATCTGACTAAGACCCGCGTCTGAAAACATTTGTCCTGTTTCCTGACGAACCTTACCTAACCTATTAAAAAATCTTTAAAATAACTAGAGAATGTTTCTTCTGGTCAGAAATAAATAAATGTTTTACTTGATATTGGTTTAATCTAGAATAACACAGTAATGTACTTTTTATGTGTCATTACATATGTATACCCTCAAGACAATTTAAAAACTGTATTTGATGTAACTAGTCTTAATATAATTTAATTACCTTACACTTTAACGCTGATCAGGCTTAGAGAAAAGTTTGGATTTATTTTGACTTGTGTAGATTTCAGTTTTCCCTTTTTAGTGGGAAAAATGAGAAAATTGAAGTGCCGTTTTTTATGCGATAACTACTGAGTGCCTCAACCCATTGACTTCACTGCTGATATCTTAACAATGCAACTTCTGAGCAACTTCAAGTTTAATATGTTTGTGTACTTTAGGATATTGTTCTCTGAGATGAGAGAATTTCTTTTCAGTTTGGCCTCAGACTTTACGAGCTGTGGAAGGAATGGTCGCAAATCTGCACACAGAAATCACTCCCTACGAAAGTAAAAGACTGGGCAGGCGATGCAAAATGCCCCCAATAAAAAGTAGGGGCGCCATTGGTACACTAAGGGAAAACACCATAAGTGTCCGGGGCCCAAAACTGTTCAACAGCCTCCCATCAAGCATTAGGGGAAATGCCAATAAACCCCTGGCTGCCTTCAAGAGAGAGCTGGACAGATACCTATAGTCAGTGCCGGATCAGCCGGGCTGTGGCTCGTACGTTGGACTGTGTGCGGCCAGCAGTAACAGCCTAGTTGATCAGGCCCTGATCCATCGGGAAGCCTGGTCATGGACCGGGCCGCGGGGGCGTTGATCCCCGGAATAACCTCCAGGTAACCTCCAGGTATCCAGGTATATACTCTCTGCTCGAATTTGCCATTTTTACTGAAGAAATTTGGAGATTGGTTCCCATGTGATAGCTTCTGATATACTTGAAATCTTCAACGCTAATATCCTTCTGCAGTAGAAACGTGTGCCGCACTCTGCAGTATTCCAGTCGCCTACATTGAGGTACATAGGACTGGGGTTGTGCAATACGGGGATAGTCTTGGATCACGCAGCGAATAAAATGCGTAAAGTTTATGTTAGGGTCGTTTTTAGGTACTCTTCCAGGATAGAACCACAGTAAACAGATAACTCCTAGTATTGATTTACTGCAAGTAACAGGAACAGCAGTAAGTGTTCGGAGACTTGCCCATGCGTCTTGCGTCGTGTAGTGTTCGACCTCACGTCTCCTGTACCGAGCCGAGCTCGCCAACCACAGTGTTACAAGGTACCATGACTATGAATTCAGTGTAAAGCATAGGAACCCTGATTTAAATTAATCGTTTAGAGGATCCGTGAAGACATTAGAGATTAAGTCAGTACAATGTCTTATTTTAATATTATACAAACGTTTAAAATTTTTGAAAAGCCCATGGGATGAACATTTCCAGAAATTATAATATGACCAGTTTGCATATATCTTTATGATTTGTACAACACGTAATTCAACGCAGATCTAAATACAGATTAGTAATAAATAATTTAATCTCTTCAAGGGACGTTCCTTGATGCTAATGAGAAGCTCTCGACTCGAAGGAAGTGCAGGTGGGGTTCCTATCCTTAGATCAATAATAATAATAATAATAATAATAATAATATCTTTATTTCTACAAGTACATGTACAAGGAATACAGACCATAGCTGACATGAATGACATACTACTATATAGAAGCCCCTTGTTATGCTGAACATTTCGGGTAAATCAGGTTATCCCAGGTTCTCTACACATATGCTGCTATGTATGATAATTCTATGTAACTGTATTTGTGTATACCTGAATAAACTTACTTACTTACTTACTTACAGGTCAATTTTGTCCCAGGATGCGACCCACACCAATCCACTAACACTCAGGTACCCATTTTACTGATGGGTGAACAGGGACAGCAGGTGTCTTATGGAAACACGTCCTAATGTTTTCCTGCCGTACCGGGGAATCGATCCCCCGGACCTCAATATGTGAGCTGAGTGCCCTAGCGGTGATGTATAATCCTTATGGGCTTAGTGCTTTCCCCCAAGTTGAGTTACTGAGTTGTTTTAACTTTTAAAGTTTAAATAATAAGATATTACAAGGACCCTCAATAGAAGTAAGTCACATTGTCGTACTTTTTTGAGTGATCCTAGGTAAGGTTTGTCAGGAAACAGGACAAGTGCTTTCTGGCTCGCGTCTAAGTCATATGATGACCCGCAGCTGGAGCTTTTGGTCATCTGACCGAGGCCTTCCACTTGTATGTGTACGTGTGCCTAAATAAACTTACTTAATATACACTGTAATAACTTTGTACAAAACTGACTTAAAACATAATACCTTGCATAATAAGAGGTTTTCTATAAAGTAATTTATATATGTCAATTACCCTAATTTCATAATAGACTGTACTTCACTTTATAGAATTAAAGTTTGTTGGTATTCTCATAACCATTCACAAAAAGGAGGAAATGGGAAAAAAATTCGGTTACTCCTACGAAAATTGATTTTCTTTCATTGGTTTAAGGAAGAAAACTTGATTATAAGGTGGACTTTAATATTCAGATAAAATAAAGTTTTAAGTTTTTTCAGGTATACACATATACAGTTACATAGATTATCATACATAGCAGCATATGTGTAGAGAACCTGGGATAACCCAAAAAAAGATAGACAGAGTGACTTATTTCCATTGGGGTCCTTTTACCTGATTATTATAATATAAAGGTGATAATATCTTATTATTATTATTCTTGCTTACCCGAAGAAGATTTTGTTCGAATTATTAACCCGGAGGGCAGCTCAGTGTTTCACTCGTGTCGGGGAGTGATCCCCAGTCCCTCAGTGTGTGAGCTAAGGACGCTACCAACCAAGCCACGAGCACCAATAGGGATTTATCATTTTAGGTGGCAAATCACACAGATCATTAACCAAGACAGCCTCGCCAGTTCCACTAGTTTGTTTTTGGATACAATAAATGTAGAGACGAACTTATGAAAACTTAAGTTTCTTCTCTGATCAAGGGTCATCTGTATGCTACCTTTTATTAAGAAATAAGGCCAAATGCAAGTGACGAGTTCCCCGCAAAGAATTTGGACACTTGGTACCTAGATCAAGATGTAGAGAAGATCTTTAGGTTTTATTTAAATCTTATTGGTAGAAGAGAGACACGGTGCTTTCAGTCCCCCCCCCTTTTTTTTAATTAAATTTCCTTAGTAGGTATATAACTTTTGTATTGTACCCCAAATCTCCGAGTCTTGAGGGCAGTGAAGCGGACATTTAACACAGCAGAGCAAGACACACTAGAATACAATGTTACCCCATTTGGTAGGGCAAACACTACATTGAAAGAAGCATACCAGTGATAGTTTTTTCTCAAGAGCTCTCTCAGATCATCTCATACACCTTACCTTCTAAACAGCAGCGTCACACTGTTGAAGAACTCAGCTTGTGTGACGCACGCACAACATAACTCTCATTGTTAGGTGAAATAAAAACCTTCACAATATTTCCGGAGTATATTTTATAAGTACATGGCAAAGCCTTTTTGAGATCTCTCATCAAACTTATATAATAGAAGAACAGCAAATAATATTACTTACAGTTAAACATACGTGGCAGACTTCTAAGTCGTATAGTAATAATTCCTAAACTGATTAAGAAAGCCAACCATTACTGCTCAATATTTTTGTTGGGCAGTAAAAGTAATGTACTGACTATAATTTCAATGACTCCGTATAACCTCTCGAATATTATTATTATTATTATTGTTATTATATTATTATTATTATTATTATTTTGAGAAACCAATTAAACCGTAAGGATCAGACAACGCTTGGAGAATAGGAGGTAATCAGGTTTGATTTAAGAGCACAAGCAACCTCCAGTCATGTGATGAAGAGAACTCCATCAGCAACATAGCACCCCTCATCCTTTCCCTCTTGAAGGCTTGAAGGGAACCCACGAATAAAAGGTGTTAAACACTGGTAGTGAGTTTAACAAAGATACATACAGTATCTTTATTCATGTTTTAAAAACTGCTGTTGATAATTCATCTACTCTAATGACGAACGTAATTACATTTACGAATATTTCCTGGTCTTAATTCAGGACTTATCTTGAAACTCTGACGTTCCAACGCCACTCTGGTGACCAGTGCACATACTGAAAGAACCCTCGTCGTCAGTACCTCACTCCCAACCACAAGATATGGGCGTGGCTGAGGTGGACGTATTAAGTATTGTGGTAGAGTAACATTCTGATCAGGAGAGTAGGACAATGCTGATGGCTTCTCGCCACCTTCTATACAGTTTTGCTGTTGGCTGCCGATGGTTCCCTTTCATTTTGAGACTGGTTATCTTGACCTACATTGGGACCATCTAAGAATGTAGAAATTTCTTGATTATCACTTACGTCGCCCTTGGCGAGTGAGCCTTGCCATGAGTGGATCATCTTGGTTTGTGGTTCAAGATGCACAGGATTGCATATTCGCTCTTCTTGAGAAACATCATGTCTCCATTTCATAAGTGTGTTAACCACTGTTTGGACTTTATGCTTCTGCAGTGTTGAATTATCGTGAATTTTCTTGAGGTGCTGAGTCTGTTTCCTTTGTATTTTTTCTCTGATGTTCATAGGTAGGTAGCCATGGTCGGTGATGGTGTTCCGCTGACCAATATTATCTTTGCAAGTGTTCGTCACCTCTACATTACCATCTTCGCAAGTGCTCGTCATCCCTACACTACTATCTTTGCAAGTGCTCATCTCCTCTACACTACCATCATTGCAATTCCTTGTTACCCCTACACTACCATCGTTGCAAGTGCTTGTCACCCCTACATTACCATCTTTGTACATGTTCATCACCCCTACACAATCGCTTCTGCAAGTGTTGGTCATCCCTACATTAGCATAACAAGGCTCACTCTTGCTAGGCTCACAATGCATTTCATCAGTAATCACTTCAGAGGACCTTGGGTTGTCAGTCTCCTGGTTTACATATCTTCTTGCTTTGATATTTTTATTGTGTTTCGTTGATTTTATATTTGCTCCTTTGGAAAAGTTTTTATTCTTCGGTATTGACATGTTTAAGTATTTACTTGAAGTGCTACTGTCTAAGTGTGAGTGATGTGCGACGGGCCTCAAAGTGCTGCCTGGATGCATGACTTTAGGAAGCTCATGGATAACAGGATGATGGACGTTGAATGATAAATTCCTCCTTTTTTCTAACATTCTAGCATCCATCTCCTCGTAGATCATCGTGGAAGGATTGAGGATGTCCTGAGGACTCGTCGTTTCTTCCCCACACATTAAGTTGGTTCCCCAGAGGAAGAGGTTCTTTGGACGTTTGCGCCATGGTGACGCGCGTTACCACCACGGGGTACAGGGGAGGCGGGGGCTTGCGGTCTAGATCTAGACATGGTGAAGGGACCCCGTAGTTTTAGGTAGTGCAAAGCTCACCATTATTGGGAGATTATCGTAGTTGTCGTCTGCGACCAGAAGGAACCCCCACGAGCTCGAAATTCAGAAAGATAGTCTTTAAGGCCAGATCTTCCCTCGGGAACACTCTCGTAGGTCCTAACAGATGGAATTCTGCAGCCCAGCAGCCCGTCCATGCAGCCTTTACCCCGACCGTCTTCGTCTTCAATCTTGAACTCTTCGTGTTCTAAAGGACAAAAATATATATTAATTAACTTCACTTTTTTCCAGGAGTATATATTGCTGTTATATATCTTATCAAACGCATCAAGAATTTATTATCGGCTTAAAGCAAAGGTTCATTTATTTAACAGTTCAAGTGTTTCCATAAAAAAAAAAAAAAAAGCAGATAAACTTTTATTTTTTACCGTCTTGAGATGATTGTTGGGAAGTATGAGTCAGTGGACAGTAGCAATGAAGACCAGAGGCGTCATCGCTGCTACACATGTACATCACCAGGATCACCACGCTCTTGTAGAAGAAAGAATTGGGAACAAATACTTTATGTTCGGTACATGGAAAACACAAGCCTTGTAACATAGTGATAAGGTTGCTTTCTAATTATCTATAGTTATATTATAAAACCAGTTTGAAGATGACAAGTCTGGCATTGTAAACTATCCTCGTCAAGATAAAGTATGTTTAGTAAAGCTTCGAGGCGGTTACTTTGATGTTACTGATAGACTCTTTGATCTTCAGAAGTAATGCTAGTCTTCTACTTTATCCTATATTTAAAGAGTTATTATGATAATCTCTAAAGTTTTTTAAGAGTAATAATTCTAATTTGCAGCGTGTTGTATAGGCTGTATTGAAGGTGCAAGAGAAACTGCTGGATAACATTAAACTGGTCCTGGGTATTAATGTGTATGTGAATACCCATCCTTAGTCCACAACGTTCATTTTTTCACGAATTATAGTACATCAGTTTCTGAACGTTCTCGTATTCTCGAGTAATTCAATTTTAGGCTTAAACAATAAATAAGTAGGGTTGAATTTAAGAGGGACACGACTAGCATGGATCATTAGGCTTACTACAGTGCTCCTCCGTTCTTATGTTATATATATATATATAATATATAAAATATATATATATATATATATATATATATATATATATTATATATAGTTATATATATAGTTATATATATAGTTATATATATAGTTATATATTATATTATAATATATTATTATATATATAATTATATATATATATAATATTAAAACTGGCAATACGAAACGTGGGCCCCATTCAAGAAGGGCTTCCTGATTTTGGTTCTTGATTCGGTACCTTTAAAATATGAGACTGTTTAAAGCAGAACATTCTTCACGTGTGTAATGGCGTTCCTGTACAGATACAGATATGTCAATACCTACACATATGTACAATCAAAACATTTGTTATAGGAGACGCCAAGTCTCCTATAACAAGGATTGAAAAAGTCATCAGCAGCGAAGGATATCCTTCAGCCTAAATTTTGATTGTGCATGTGTCTTATTTCTTTTGGAATACTTGTTTAATGGAAATGTATATGCTTAGGTTACCTGTGTGAGGGTGACCAGGCAGAAGAAGTAGCGACCCAGGTGGTGGTGCTGGATGAGGCTGGCACTGACCAGGGTCCACTCACCGGCTACCACCATCGCCAGCTGTTTCACTCGTCCACACCTGTTCAACCACAGTAGTAGAGTGGGAAAATGTAAGTTTGGTTGGTTACCTTTAAGTATCATATTATGATACACGAAAGGAGGCGCTGACCAGGGAAGTGGAAACTATCGAACTTAAGCTAAATGACTCTTACAGGAACCAGGAGAGGCAGGAGGAGCTTAAAGCTATTAGTGAAATTGAAAGAAATTCAAAATATTTCTTTTCATATGCCAAAAACAAGGCAAATACCACATCTAGTATCGGGCCTTACTCAGACAGGATGGGACTTACACAGATGACAACAAGGAAATGAGTGAAATATTGAAATCCCAGTACGACTCTGTGTTTAGTGAACCACTAATCGGTCTGAGGATCGACGACCCAAATGATTTCTTCATGAATGAGCCTCAAAACTCCATAAATGTATGCCAGATTTCCGACATTACCCTAACTCCGATAGATTTCGAAAAAGCCATTGACAACATGCCTATGCACTCAGCCCCGGGCCCAGACTCGTGGAACTCTGTTTTCATTAAGAACTGCAAGAAACCCCTCTCGCGTGCCCTAAGCTGTATAGTCCTTGTGGCTTAGTGCTTCTTTTTGATTATAATAATAATAATAATCGCGTGCCCTAAGTACACTATGGAGGAGGAGCTTGGACATGGGTGAAATTCCACAGTCACTTAAAACAACGGATATAGACCCACTCCATAAAGGTGGCAGCAAAGCATTAGCTAAGAACTATAGACCAATAGCTCTGACGTCCCACATCATAAAAATCTTTGAAAGAGTGCTAAGAAGCAGGATTGCAAATCACCTGGATTCCCAAAATCTGCACAATCCAGGGCAACATGAGTTCAGGGCAGGTCGCTCCTGCCTCTCACAACTACTGGATCACTATGACATGGCCTTGGATGCACTGGAAGAAAATCAGAATGCAGATGTAATATACACAGACTTTGCAAAAGCATTTGACAAATGCGATCATGGCGTAATAGCCCATAAAATACGTGCTAAAGGAATAACTGGGAAAGTGGGGAGATGGATCTTCAACTTCCTAATAAATCGAACACGAAGAGTAGTGGTCAACAGAGTTAAATCGGAGGCTGCCATAGTGAAGAGCTCTGTTCCACAAGGCACAGTACTCGCCCCCATCTTATTCCTTATCCTCATATCAGACATAAACAGAGATATACACCACAGCACCGTATCATCCTTTGCGGATGATACTAGGATCTGCATGAGGCTGTCATCTGCTGAGGACGCGGTTAACCTCCAAGAAGATATAAACAAAGTTTTCCAGTGGGCAACGGTAAACAATATGATGTTCAATGAGGACAAATTCCAACTACTCCGTTATGGAAAACTGGAGGAGATAATAACTAGAACAGAGTATACTACTGACTCCGGCCATACAATAGAGCGGAAAAATAATGTAAGGGACCTGGGAGTAGTAATGTCTGAGGATCTCACTTTCAAGGATCACAACAGTGCCACGATCGCACGTGCAAAGAAAATGATAGGATGGATAATGAGAACTTTCAAAACGAGAGATGCCAAGCCCATGATGATCCTTTTCAAATCACTTGTTCTCTCTAGCAGGCTGGAATACTGCTGTACATTAACATCTCCATTCAAAGCAGGTGAAATCGCAGATCTAGAGAGTGTACAGAGAACCTTTACTGCACGTATAAGTTCTGTCAAGCACCTTAACTACTGGGAACGCTTGGAAGCACTTGACTTGTACTCGTTGGAACGCAGGAGGGAGAGAGATATCATAATCTACACTTGGAAAATCTTGGAAGGAATGGTCCCAAATCTGCACACAGAAATCACTCCCTACGAAAGTAAAAGACTGGGCAGGCGATGCAAAATGCCCCCAATAAAAAGTAGGGGCGCCATTGGTACACTAAGGGAAAACACCATAAGTGTCCGGGGCCCAAGACTGTTCAACAGCCTCCCATCAAGCATTAGGGGAATTGCCAATAAACCCTGGCTGCCTTCAAGAGAGAGCTGGACAGATACCTAAAGTCAGTGCCGGATCAGCCGGGCTGTGGCTCGTACGTTGGACTGCGTGCGGCCAGCAGTAACAGCCTATGTAAAGTAAAAGGACACAAGTGCAACTAATGTGACATTTATTGTGGCAACGTTTCGCTCTCCAGGAGCTTTATCAAGCCATTACAAACAATACATGGACACAGAGGGTATATAAAGGCTCAGAGTGAGGTGTAATACTAGTGAGGTACCATTTCGTTGTTCACTAGTGGTAGTAGTAGTAGTAGTAGTAGTAGTAGTAGTAGTAGTGGTAGTGACAAAAGTAATACAATATGGTAGAGCAATTAATTCGTACATGAGTAAAAGGATATAAAAGCTATTACTTGGGTAACATAAAAATAGGTTGGACAAATATAGACTGGAATGAGGCAGCTTGTTTCAGTGTTCACTCTCTGTGCTTTGTATAGTATAACAGGAGAGAATATGTGTTGGCAGGGTTTACTGTTTTCAAGAGGATTCTTGCTAAGACTTCGGAGATGGTGAAGCTGCCGTTGTTTTGTTTAATTGTATTCGAAACAGCGATCAGTGCTGATTCGAGGCACTTGCGTCTGCGGAAATTAGTTTCTTTGATCATTAATTGGGCGTCTCTGAATTTCATGAGATGATTGGTGGAATTTCGGTGTTGTACACAGGCGTTGTTCAGGTTATCGTTCCTACATGCGTAAATGTGTTCATTGAGGCGGGTGTCGAGGTTTCTGGCTGTTTCACCTACGTAAATCTTGTCACAGCCTCCACAGGGTATAGTGTAAACTCCTGCATTGACTGGTTCGTGGTGCTTGGATTTTGTCCTGGTTATATCCTTTATTGAAGTGCTAGAAGCGATGGCGACTCTGGTGTTAGCTTGTGAAAGTACTTTTGAGACGTTCAGTGCAACCTGACTGTTGGGAAGAATTATAACTTTGCTGGGAGTGGTGTTAATCATTACGTTACGTTGAGATCATTACGTTACGTTACGTGGACGATGTCCTCGTAATAACTCCAAAACGTTTTGATGTACGGGATCTTCAGGCAAGGCTCAACGCAGTTGAACCGGCGATCCAGTTTACACTAGAAGAAGAGTCCAATGACAAGCTACCTTTCCTCGACGTCCTCATTCACAAAGACAACCTAAGATTTCAAGTTTATCGGATACCCACCAATAAAAATGATCTCACACACTTCTATTCCAGTCAAGATACCAAGACCAAAAGAGGCATCATCATCGGGTTTTTCCTAAGAGCATACCGAATTTGTAGTCCTGAGTTTCTTGACGAGGAGTGAACATACATTCACCAAACATTCACAGAGTTACATTTTCCTTCTTTTTTTCATCAAAGACTGCAAGAAAAGAGCTCTTCAGATCATAAATTCTCCACGCATCAACACCACTCCCAGCAAAGTTATAATTCTTCCCAACAGTCAGGTTGCACTGAACGTCTCAAAAGTACTTTCACAAGCTAACACCAGAGTCGCCATCGCTTCTAGCACTTCAATAAAGGATATAACCAGGACAAAATCCAAGCACCACGAACCAGTCAATGCAGGAGTTACACTATACCCGTGGAGGCTGTGACAAGATTTCGTAGTGAAACACCAGAACCTCGACACGCTCACATGAACATTACGCTGTAGGAACGATAACTGAACAACGACCTGTGTCAACACGAATTCACCAATCATCTTGGAAATTCGAGGACGCCAATTAATGATCAAGAACTAATTTCGCAGATGCAAGTGCCTGAATCAGCATGATCGCTGTTCGAATCATTAACAAACAAACGGCAGCTTCACCATCTCCGAAGTCTTAGCAAGAATCCCCTGAAAACAGTAACCTGCCATAATAGTCTCTCCTGTATATACACAAAGCACAGAGAGTGAACACAAAACAGTGCTCATTCCATATATTGCCAACCTTTTTTATGTTACCCAAATAATAGCTTTTATATCCTTTTACTCATGTACGAATAATGCTCTACATATTGTATACTTTGTCACTCCCTATACATACTACTACCATAGTGAACACGAAATGGTACTCATAGTATACACTCATCTGAGCCTTTATACCCTCGTGTCCATGTATTGTTTGTAATGGCTTGATAAAGCTCCTGGAGAGCGAAACGTTGCCACAATAAATGTCACATTAGTTGCACTTGTGTCCTTTTACTTTACATATTGTCGGTAATTCTACCAACTTTATTACAGTAACAGCCTAGTTGATCAGGCCCTAATCCATCGGGAGGCCTGGTCATGGACCGGGCCGCGGGGGCGTTGATCCCCGGAATAACCTCCAGGTAACCTCCAGTACCGACAAGTTAATGAATAAGTATATGAGACTGTTTTCTTATAGCAGTAGAGCAATTCTCGGTGTTTCTTGTTCATTATTATTATTATTAATTTTAGTAGTAGTAATACTAGTTTATTTTTTTTCGATAAAAAATGGATGTGTAACACTAGATTCAAAATTATAAACTTAAACAAAGAAGATATGATCTACGATAGTTAACTAAGATTCAGATACGTACAGTAGTGAGTGTGAAGGAATTAAAGTATTCTTGACTGGTGGTGAACAGTTGACAAGCAGCCTTAATGACCCTCGTGTAGTCGATAAGCTTTAAACTCAATCATCTAACCAACACTTACACGAGAGTGAGGCTCCTGTGGTCGGGCGAAGCTGCCTTGATGAGAGCCAGGTGCTTCAGGTTGTGCCTCGCCAGCGCCACCCACAGGAGGAACACGGCCATCATGGAACCCAGCACGCCCGCCGTCAGTGTCCAGGCGTCACCCAGGGGCAACCAGGGCAACCCTTGTGGGTACTGGTACAAATGCTCCGCCGCCCACACCGCCAGCCCGACGGTACACGACACGGCTGTTTTGTTATGATGATTTGTATTATTATTAATTATTATTGTTGTTGTTATTATTTGTTATACTGAGGAAAAAAAAAAAGGTGACTTACCGATGACAGCGAACGTTACTGTGTGTGTGGGCGACATGGGCGTAGTGTGGGTGGTAACTGCTAGATGCTGGTGGAGAGCCATCTGTTGACTGACGCCCACACCCATACACAGAACTAGACATGAGCTGCCGACCGCTCTCACACCCACAACCACCTGGCAAACATACCAGCAAGGCAGCATATTACTCTTAATATACTTAATGAATATAGTTCGGGTCAATTACTTTCTGATATATACGATAGTGTTAAGAATATACTTTATTATTATTAGTATTAGTATTATTATTATTAGTATTAGTATTATTATTATTAGTATTAGTATTATTATTATTAGTATTAGTATTATTATTATTAGATACGTATTAGTGGATGCCCCATTATTCATCATTGTGTATCACAGTCAGAATGTGAGTCGGTGAAGGAATAAGTGAACTGTGAGATGTTTCACATATCTGTGAGGTGTTTCGCACACCTATGCAGTGTCCTACACACCTGTGATGTGTTCCACACGACGAAGACGGCGAAGGTGAGGTTGAAGAGGGTGAGAGCGAGGCACTTGAGGAGACGCAGCTGCACGGTGGTGAGAGAAGCTCTGGGGAGCAGCAGCAGCAGACACACAGCAGTCACAGCTGCAGACAACACACAGCTGCCAGCTACACTGGCCTCTCCTTGCCTTTCATGGGCTCCACTATCTCTCTGCTGGTTCACCATTCATAGCACATGAGTTATCAATATATCTTAATGGCTGAGGGGGGTCATCGCCCCCGCGGCCCGGTCTCAGACCAGACCTAAATTGGAAAGGAAATATTACCGGAATATGAGCTATTACAAAACAAATATCTATCGACAAGTGCTTTTGACAAACGGTAACTGACTGAAACATGCAGGAGAAAGTCAAGAATAAGTGTAAACAGAATTTTATATAACATACATGTCATCCTACATGTTCACAAGATACAACAGCAATCCAGAGTACAAAAACATTTTATAGGCTTCTCTTTTTTCACATTCATATGATAAGACTGTACTACCTCCTAGGATGGTTGTCTACCACCCTGGTACTTCCTATACCTCACAGTGTAAAACAAAGATACCAGCTATCAAAGACTTGTAATCACAAGTTCCTTCGTGTAAGGACTTCAGAGGGTTACTGAAAATCACTACAAGATGAGGGCTCTTTACATAAAATAGAAACTACCTTTTTTACCGTATTTTCCGGCATATAAGGCGCACGATTATGCGAGACTTAAATTTAAGATGATGTTTGGAAGCAGTTGTAACGTATTATTATTATTATTATAATCAAAAAGAAGCGCTAAGCCACAAGGGCTATACAGCAGTTGTAACGTAACATTAGTAAACAACTGCTAAAGCGTAACCTAAAGCCTACCCTTAACCCTGACCTTGAGCATATAAGGCGCAGATTGATTTTCTAAGACTTGGAAAAAAGACGCGCCTTATATGCCAGAAAATACAGTAACTAATGTAACTTCTCTATAAAAATTTACTTTTTATACTAGATGGTTATAATTATAACCTTAATTTTTAAAGGGGTGGACCGGTAAGCCAGTGGAAGGCCTCGGTCAGATGACCAAAATTCGAGCTGCGGATCATCATATGACTAAGACCCGCATCAGGAAACACTTTTCCTGTTTCTTGACAATCTTACCTAACTTAACCTTTTCTATAAATTGGATACAGCAATAATGTCTGGTTCAGACATAATGTAGGCTTCATCTGTTTTGACCAATTTCACTTTCTGCACTGTATTTTTAGAGAAAATTTGTCCGAAATCAGGTAGTGAGGTACTAACATGTGTTATTTCTGGAAGTGTCGGTGAAACCAGCAGAAGAGTGAAGAGGCCTTCTCCCCGGCACAGACACACACACCGGCCCCCACTAGTGCTATTATCCTGGTGATCGCTGTTGTTTCCCTCTCCTGACTCTAGCAGGGAGCAGGGACTCAGGTCCCAGCTGAGTGTTCCCTCCTCCAGCCATCCCAGACCGCAGGCAGGCACCCGTGTTGCCTCCCTGCAGAGTGCGGGGAAATAATGATGAGAGCTGACAGTGATTGATTTTTGGGGTTTAAAGCACAAATGAGATATTCTAACACTTTATCAGTTTGCTGTATATCCACATAAATAACGTACAATAGAGTGTGTATCAGTCAGTCAAAAATCTACCTCTGTACTGGACAGGAGGAGTAGGTAAGATACGAGACAAGTTTGGAATTGGCGAAGTTGGTGGGAATGATGTGAGCGTCCGTTGCTTTTCTGGTCGAGGCTGTATTATTACTGGTCGACGCTTTTTTCCAGGGTGAGACAGTGCTCCTGGGTAAGGCAGTGCTCCGGGGCGAGTCTGTGGACACAATGTGACGGTGCTCCACAACCTCCACCAGTGCTGCCTCTACCAGTATAGGCTCTTTAGTGTCCTCCCTGAATACATAAATATTCTACAAACAGATAGCTATATATATATATATATATATATATATATATATATATATATATATATATATATAACACACACACACACACATTAGTTCTACAATACATACGAAATTACTACCACAACCTTATGTGAAAAAGTTGATGTCTGTCTTGACAAGTTACGCATTTCCTCGTCCACCCAAAAAGAGAGTTTAAGACTATCACTATACTCGTCACTATGTGACAAAAGCCACACAAAGTGATCAAGCTACTTAAATTAACCTTTCGTACACCTCTCTCCCTACTTACCCATGACTTTTTTCACTGCTCTATCCCATCCCACACCTTCCCCTCCATGTACTTGTCATCCCTGTTATGGCGAAATGAAAAAAAAAGTTACCTAGAGTAATGTATACCTGGAGGGTATAATGAAGTACAACTGTATAATAAAGTACTGTAATGTATAATAAATTACAACTTAACTAGAAATAATTAATATTTCTTAGTTTACTTAGTGAGAGTGGAGAACCTAATCGTCACATCCTATCTTAAGATCTATTGATCTGTGGTAAACTTGCTTTAAACCCCAGTGATTCCTTTAAGGAGCTCCTTGACTCTGTTGAGGGGCTGCTGATCCAAGGAATTGGACCTGGGTTTTCCTTTCTTTGCATAGAACTTGCTTACCTCCCATTCCCTCTAAGTGCTGTCTGACCCTTAGCAGTTTAGAACTTACTAATAAACGCAATAATAATAATAATAATAATAATAATTAATAATAATAATAATGAATTCCAATACGAGTTGGTGGTGTGTTGCTCGTCCTTGAGTTACAGTAAAGGAAATTACGGAGGAAGTATTGAGCTGATGTAAGAAGCAAATGATCGTGCAGCATGTACGTGGTGAAGAAATTAAAATGGTAATGGATGAGACTTGCAGAAAGAGAAACGCACAAAAAAAATACATGACTGTCCACAAATAACTCACAAACTGGAAATGGAAACAGCGATTCTTCGGTGTGTCCTCAACCCTTAACAAGTTATTATTTGACAAGAGTCCTGGGAGAGGCGAAGCATCGTTTAGTTTCTATTTTGAATTTGTGGGTTAGCTTGGAAATGTTCCAGTCACGGTATTGTGACTTTTATCTGTCAATACCTGAGTGTCTCACGTTGATGGTAGGGGAAGTTTTCGGGGCGTAAAAATATCACAATCCCCACCGACACCTGTTGTTTGTACTGCTGTTGCTGTTGCGGCCCCTTCACTTCCACCGGCGCTGCTTCCTCCTGTTCCTCTCGCTGCTGCAACTCTTTCAGTGTCATCGTCCGAGCTTGTGTGTCGTCAAATGAGACCTCCACACGTACACTCAACAGGGGCACCGCTTCTCTGTAAACAATTAATTATCAGAACAATATATATATATATATATATATATATATATATATATATTTATATATATATATATATATATATATATATATATATATATATATATATATATATATATATATATATATATATATATATATATATATATATATATATAAAGCTTGCTTCTAATGCATTAAAAAAATATTCTATATTACAGACATGTTTCACAGACATTTGTAAAATTGCAACTGTGATAACTTTCATTTTATGTTAGATTCATTATCTGTTAAGACATTTCTCCTTAATAATTTCGCAATAACTTCTTTTACATCCCATCTATATAATGACATTAGAGAATCATGATAATATAACACATACGTGTTTAAGTTCCACTTTTACTGGAAAATATTCCTTGTCTCTCACAGACAAAAATCTGAACTGCATTTTCCTCTTAAAAACTCATTACAGTTTTCATCACCTTACTAAGTCTTACATACACCTCACAACACGTAAGGGAGCCTTATGAGGTTCAGCAAAACGAACATAGCAACTGGTTGTACGACCACCGCCAAGGACCAAATCAAGAAGGTCAACACATTTAAATCCGGAGTGGAAGTGTATAGGCTTCCTTTTGATAGGATGTGAGGTATACATAAAGAAAACAGCTAGGACCATGGGACAGAGAGTTAGAGACCACCGATGGTGCCTGTAGCCACGACCAACTTAGGTATACTTGTGTGCTTACATTGGAACACAAACTGGCACCTTAGTAAATGGGATGGAGCGGAGTTAGTGATAGAGGTGAGTGATATACACCAGCATCGTTTAGAGGCAGCTGTGACTTCATATCGAAGACTGTCAAACAAAGTTCATGTAGTTTTAGTCTACGAAACTCTGGGTAGGATAATAACAAAAATAGATGAACACTGCAGTAGGCCTACTGGCCCAAACTAGTCAAGTCCTTTTTTAAACCAACCATTCCCACCCACCCACTTGACCAACATATCCAATGCATCACGATCAGATGGCACAGACTACCACGGACTAGCCGTCACTCTACCAAGTGACGCCTCTACATTACCTGGCTTCTGTTTCTCCTAGCCTCTTTGTTTCTAGTTCTGTATTAGCATTAAAAAACCTCATCAGTAAGAAACGTCTCCTTTAGTAAAAGTTCTAAATGTACATATGCCTTTATTTAAACATGACACACTCTCAAATGATAGTGAGCAATCAAGCTGTTGGAGTTGGCATCTAGGGTATGATTACTGCACATTCCTGTGACTAAAATATCAGCAAGTAGCATGTACATACTAACATTTATAACTTATATAAAATATAATCGGTAAGAATTATTATTATTATTAACAGTAGTAGTAGTGGTGGTAGCAGAATTAGTAGTAAAAGCTGTGGTGGTGGTGGTGGTAGTAGTAGTAGTAATAATAATAGTAATTGTAGTAGAAGTAGTATCATCTTTATAGTGTATGTTTGTCAAGTGTTAAATCAGTGCAGGTCATATAGTTCCAAATAAATACTATTATGAAAAACTCGAAAACACTAAATATATTTTCTCTTATGAAACACAGATCTCATATAAATGTTTAGGAGCCCAAGAATTTTGGCACTCAAAAAGGACTATGTATATGTACCACAGCTCAGAAGACAGAATACCTCCTGGGTTGGCAGTCTGTTGTTACGACGTGATCTTCCTGGTTAAGGTGCGTAACTCTTCCTACTAAGTGAGGTAACCACACATTCTCACCCTGAGTTGAGGACGACACCACGACAGTCCTCAAGTGTCTCCTGCTTATTTCCAACATCCTCCAGGTAGTCTGCGGTAAGAAATAATCTCTTTTAAGTTGTAACACGAAGTTAGGCTTAAGAGCTGCGATAAATTAATTGCGAATTTGCTCAGAAAGATGAGTTGCACATTGTGCAGGAAGAATATCAATATCAACAGAACAGCTTTAGCAATAATGAAGAACTCAAGTATCCTTTATCAGTGCAAATCTTGACCTGATGCCTGCAGTAAAATAAGAGGTACACACGCTATTTAAAATATCTTTGTGAAAAATTTTATGTTAGTAATATGTGTACAGTACTACAAGAGTGTTTGTATTGATATGTGCGAGTTGACGTGAGATGCATTATTATTGAAGATTCGCCGGTTTTCTCCCGGCCGGGCCTCTTCCAAGTTGTGGTCCGGCCTTGGCTCCCTCTCTAGGGAGTGTCTGAGACCTAAGTCTCCCATGGGAGGAGGCACAAGTACCCCCTCATCTTAGGGACCAACTGTCCCCAGGTCCTAGCTTCTCGTAGGGAGAAGCTAGGCCTCTCTGGTCTGCCATCCCCGCCCCAAGGGGGATAATGGGAAAGACAGTCTTGTGAGCTGAAAGCTCGGGCTCAGGCACCTACCCTACCCTAGAAGGGCAAGGCATGGTGTCGATGGTGAGATGCAAATGTACAATGTGAGATTAACAAGGAATTTTATTCCGAGGAATGTGTTCAGCAATTTATTATATTATTATTATTATTATTATTATTATTATTATTATTATTATCACTTATTACTATTATCACTATTATTATTATTATCACTATTATTATCATTATTGTTATTATGATTATTATTATTATTATTATTGAAAGTAAGCGTTAGACTCGTACGGATAATAAAACTATGTAACTTACAGTGAAGGATAGAGTTTTCTTCTGACTGACCACTGTTTCGAGGATACTGAGGAAAGTATGAAGGGAAATGATCTGTTCTGTCGCCCCAACATTTCCAGGATATGAACGATGCTCGCTCCTTCACCTGGAAGAACGGGCGAGACCCTCTCTTGCAGGATCTTGAGAATATTCTTTGCTAGACCCTCTAGATCCTCAGGAAGGGAGCGGAATCCTCGCGTGTAGAGATACAACGGCTAAACGATGCAGAATTATGGGTCAGTGAGGGGAAACAAACAACTGCTTACTGAACTGTTTTATTGAAAAGTGAGAAGGTTCGCTGACTAGTGTTTGATTGTATACAAACTATATTTACGAAGTTGTAATCTGCACTTTGCATAAATTAAGTGAATATAAATGAAAACTTCTCCTAAAAAAGAGTAAACCTTAAGTATAACTTTTCTATTGTTTCTGACTCTATTGACCCAGCGGATTTTGTCCCATATATCCGAAATTCTTCGTGTAGGGGTTTCTTATATTGATGGCTTACTATTTTTTTGTGTAACAAACAGAAACACTATGTGCAGTATTCATAGAACTTTTAATTTAACTATAACAAATTAAAAATGGTAATCTATTTAGACAATAAGAGGAAGATAATGCTGGGTGTCCATCTCACCGTGGTAGTGTACTTGAGCGGCTGATAGATACACTCAGAAAATTCGGGAATGTCCCAGCTAGGTTGTGAGTGGGAGGAACCTGAGGGTGTGGTGAGGGTAGGGTCCTGCCACACTGACGGAGAGGAGTCCGGGTGTTCACTCAGGATACGGCAGTAACGAGTGGCTCCTGAGCCTTGGTAACCTTTCGGACACGGTACTTCATCCCGTTCGTGAACCTGAATCAGAAACATTGGCTGCTATTTCCCGAAATTTTGAGCTTGTGGGCTAATAGATTCATGTAAATTAACATAAGAGCCACATGTAATCAAAATTATTCTCAAACACGGAGGGGTGGCTAAAAATCTTTGAAAGACGAGATGAACAATAGAATAGACGAGGAGTAAAAAAATGTAGGCAGTTAAGACATATCTAGTAAGAAAGAACTTCATTAATGGAGGCAGAAATAATAATGTAACCAGCACAAGTTATTAACTAGCATGATAAGGGTTGGTGGGCAGCTTTGAGGAACACTACTGACCGGGGTGAGGCTCCAAGTGACACCGTAAGCAAGTCATTGTGGCAGGCGAGGGCGGGGGAGGTGACCACGTGTACTACAGCCGAGGTGTTCGCTACCTCACCGTCCACATCCACAGGTGTCCACATGACACCCTGTTCCTCCACCATGATGCACGTTACTGTCACCGACCTCTGTAACATAGCAAGGTAATCGCAACGTGTTACTTTACTGTCACCTCCGAGACGCTGATAATAATAATAAAACTGGTGTTGAAATGCTGGGATTGTAGTCCATTCATTAGAAGTCGCTTGATGCAAGTGAAGAACTGATGAATCGTGATTGACTCCCCATTTCTCAGGTGCAGTATGACCTCCTGCGGTTAAACGCTACCCCATGAATAGTACTGTATAATAATAATAATAATAATAATAATAATAATAATAATAATAATAATAGTGTCATCAAAAATGAGTGACGCAAAATGAAAACTCATGTGGATAAAAATCTGAAATATAGATGAGAGAGATGTATATAATTTAGCTTCAGTCAACTAAAGATGGGACTTGACCGGAACGGAATTACATGTATTTCACACTTTTCTGTCCATTAGTCTCTCATTGCGTAAATATTTCATCAGCACTCACCGTGACGTTAAAAATGGTGAGAGTGAAGCCTCTCCTATGTATGGGCGTGGAGCTGGTGTGGGTGTAGGCGTGGGCTGGGTGTAGCAGCCAGTGGACGGTGTAGTGGTGGGGGTCGGCCCATGCTCGGTTCTTAGTGGTACACTCAATCTCAACATCTTCACCCTGCAACACAACACTTCACTTGACTTACAGATTCAAATTTCAGTGGTGTAGCTGAATTTCAAGTTTATTAAAAATACTCATCAACCACACACTGGTTCTCGTAATTTTTACCCACTGCAAACACTTACCTCTCCTCCCTCTCTCTCTCTCTCTCTTCTCTCCTCTCTCTCTCTCTCTCTCTCTCTCTCTCTCTCTTATATATATATATATATATATATATATATATATATATATATATATATATATATATATATATATATATATATATATATAATAAGAGAGAGAGAGAGAGAGAGAGAGAGAGAGAGATAGCGAGGGGCTTGGACTTCCAGCAAGCGTGCGTGAGCGTGTTAGATAGGAGTGAATGGAGACGAATGGTATTTGGAACCTGACGATCTGTTGGAGTGTGAGCAGGGTAATATTTAGTGAAGGGATTCAGGGAAACCGGTTATTTTCATATAGTCGGACTTGAGTCCTGGAAATGGGAAGTACAATGCCTGCACTTTAAAGGAGGGGTTTGGGATATTGGCAGTTTGGAGGGATATGTTGTGTATCTTTATACGTATATGCTTCTAAACTTTTGTATTCTGAGCACCTCTGCAAAAACAGTGATAATGTGTGAGTGTGGTGAAAGTGTTGAATGATGATGAAAGTATTTTCTTTTTGGAGATTTTCTTTCTTTTTTGGGTCACCCTGCCTCGGTGGGAGACGGCCGAATTGTTGAAAAAAAAAATACATACATATATATATATATAATATATAATATATATATATATATATATATATATATATATATATATATATATATATATATATATATATATATATATCACAAATAACCTGCACATAAAAGAGAGAAGCTTACGACGACGTTTCGGTCCGACTTGGACCATTTACATTGTTTATATATATATATATATATATATATATAATATATATATATATATATATATATATATATATATATATGTCATGCCGAATAGGCAGAACTTGCGATCTTGGCTTAAATAGCAACTCTCATCTTGCCATATAGGACAAGTGAAAATTTGTGTATGCAATAATTTCGCCAAAATCATTCTGAACCTAACGAAAAAAATATATTTCACTGTGTTTGTTTAGTATTAAATTATTGTAAACAAATCTAAAATATATTTAGTTGGGTTAGGCTAAAATAAATTGTTCTTGTTATAATAAGGTTAGGTAAGTTTTCTAAGTTCCTTTTGGTGCAAAATTATAAATTTTTACATCAACATTAAGGAAAAAAATATATCTTTAAACGTATAAGAGAAAATTTCAGAAAGAACTTAATTTAAAATGAGTTCTTGCTAATTGACCAGTTTTACATATTCGGCACGACATATATATATATATATATATATATTATATATATATATATATATATATATATATATATATATATATATATATATATATATATATATATATATATATATAGGGCTATCTCTAGTCCTATATAAATTACCAGTTATAAAGAGAAGAGTTTTTTAAATTTTATTTTTCTCGGTAGGAGACGGCCGGTGTGTTAAAAAAAAATCTTATGTATACTGATTGAAAGTGAGATCTACAGTAGTATAGGCCTACCTACCTGAGTGACGGTAATTACACGAGTAATGTCTAGCTGGAGTGACTGATTACTTCCTGCCCGCACCATCTGGGAGTCCAGGTAGCCCCGGTCAGCCACCTGGCATACGTAGGTACCTCTGTCCTCCACCTGGGGCTGCAGGATCCACATCATGATGGTACACTCGTGGTCTGCGCTGCCTTTCTTAGCCATCACCTTCACCCGCCATGTTCCTTCCTCAGACCAGCTGTCGTACCCGTACATGAATAAGACACGTGTGCAGCACTTGGCTATCTTGACTTTGGAGACGTTTCGCCAGTCAGTGGCTTTATCATTCCGATACAGTGAATAATACTGGAGACGATGGAAGACATGAAGAACACAACACAGCCTGTATACCATGTACATGTACTTGTAGTAAATAAAAATGTTATATTATTATAGTTTGAGGTAAGCAATCCTCAGTCTTGAAAAGAGGGACTGACCACCCCTTCACGTCTTCTACCTTCTCCACTAATTATTCTCTGCACTGGATTAATAAAGCCGCAGGTGGGCGACACTTCTCCATAATAAAGACGTGCAAGTGTCGAACATTTGTCTTATTCATCTAGTGTAGGTTTTGTGCACCGTTAACATCTACTGACGTACGCATACGTCAACCAGGGACGAAGAAAATGGCTGAGGTTATATTGCATATTCATTAAGGGGAGAGCACTAAATCCGTAGGGGTGACACGGCGCCTGGGAAATGGGAGATAATCAGGTTTGATCCAACCAATATTTACATGTAAAATGATAAAATGAAATCAAGGGTCTTGATACCGGTCAAGGGCTTGTGGTCCACGGAACTGGAGCTGCTTTCCCTTGGATTAAACCTGACTTGCCTCCCATTCTACAAGCGTTGTAGGGCCCATACAGGTTTATAACTTCTCATGGAAATAATGTTACTAATTACACCTGAAGGATATCTGAAGTATGATTTCAGGGGTCAGCGCCCCCCGCGGCCCGGTCTCAGACCAGTTATTCTCAACATAATAATGAATATTTTTTAATCCAACAATAAAGAATTAAATATAAATTCTGTAAATAAATAAAAAAAACAGTTTATATTCATAAACATTGGGAAATAAATAAAAATTGAAGAAAGATTTGTGTACACAACGTGCTTGTTTGAGAAACACTGTGACACTGTGTAGCAGAGTGTACCTCATCAGTGTGTGATGGTTCAAGATTTTCACCAGTGTAGCTGCCTGTGTAATATTTTGTAGCACTGTGTAACACTAATATTGTGTACCACTGTAATATTGTGTAACACTGTGTAACACTAATATTGTGTACCACTGTAATATTGTGTAACACTGTAATATTGTGTAGCACTGTGTAACACTAATATTGTGTACCACTGTAATATTGTGTAGCACTGTGTAACACTAATATTGTGTAACACTGTAATATTGTGTAGCACTGGGTAACACTGTAATATTGTGTAGCACTGGGTAACACTGTAATATTGTGTAGCACTGTGTAACACTAATATTGTGTACCACTGTAATATTGTGTAGCACTGTGTAACACTATATTTGTACCACTGTAATATTGTAACACTGTGTAACACTAATATTGTGTACCACTGTAATATTGTGTAACACTGTAATATTGTGTAGCACTGTGTAACACTGTAATATTGTGTAGCACTGGGTAACACTGTAATATTGTGTAGCACTGTGTAACACTGTAATATTGTGTAGCACTGTGTAACACTAATATTGTGTACCACTGTAATATTGTGTAACACTGTAATATTGTGTAGCACTGGGTAACACTGTAATATTGTGTAGCACTGGGTAACACTGTAATATTGTGTAGCACAATGTAATACTGTGTAGCACTGTGTAACACTGTAATACTGTGTAGCACTGTGTAACACTGTAATACTGTGTAGCACTGTGTAATACTGTGTAGCACTGTGTAACACTGTAATACTGTGTAGCACTGTAATATTTCGTAGCACTGTGTAACACTGTAATACTGTGTAGCACTGTAATATTGTGTAACACTGTGTAACACTGTAATACTGTGTAGCACTGTAATATTGTGTAACACTGTGTAACACTGTAATACTGTGTAGCACTGTGTAATACTGTGTAACACTGTGTAACACTAATGCTGTGTAACACTGTAATACTGTGTAGCACTGTGTAACACTTTAATACTGTGTAGCACTGTGTAATACTGTGTAGCACTGTGTAACACTATATAACCGTGTAATACTGTTTCAAAGTGTACTTCAAGTGTGTAGTGATTACAGAGCCTCACCAGGCGTGGACGCTGTGGCTGTACACCAGAGTGTCATCCTTGTACCAGCGAACCTTCAGGTTCGAACCTCCGTACTACCCCTGGCCCTTCCAAGGTGACCCAACTGGTAGTTACAAATATCATATAGCTGTATATACATAGTGATATATATATATAATTATTAATATAATATAATAGTATAATATACATATATTATAATGTAATTCATATATAATATATATAATATTATATATTATATATTATATATATATATATATATATATAATTATATTATATATATAAAAATTATATTTTATAATATATATTTTATATTATATATATATATATATATATATATATATATAATATAATTATATAAAATATAAAATATTAAAATATATATATATATATATATATATATATATAATATATATATATATATTATAAAAATATTATATATATTATATATATATTATATATATATTACATATATATAATATATATTATATATTTTACATATATATAAAATATATATTATATATATATATAATATATAATATATAATATATATATATATATATATATATATATATATAATATATATAAATATATGCAAACGAAAATTTTTGTATGCTATAATTTCGCAAAAATCATTTTGAACCTAACGAAAGAAATATATTTCATTGTTTGTTTATTATTAAATTATTGTAAACTTATCTAAAAATGTATTTAGTTGGATTAGGCTAAATTAAATTGCACTTGTTATAATAAGGTTAGGTAAGTTTTCTAAGGTTCTTTTGGGACAAAATTATTAATTTTTACATTGAAGGAGGGAGAGGGTACTCGTAAGAGGTATTTTTTATACATTACATTAAATATGAACAAAACAAAGAGTAAGAGAGTGAATGTAGTCATCAAATTTGCGTCTCCAACATAATTTACGTCTACAAATGTGGAAAGCAAACAGGGAGTCAGTTTAGTGATTAGGTTTTTGAATACCTTATACATTATAAGGGAATTTTATTACATTTACGGGGAAGCGGAAACCCTGTTGGGTTATACAGCACCTGAGATAATAGAGGTAATCAGGTTTAATAGACCTACCCCGACGGAGAGGCGTGGTATGCGGGAGGTTGTCACCTTCACAGCACCAAACTCTCGCTGCCACAGTGTGTCAGAGGTGAGGAGGTGAGCTGCCTCCGTCCCCACCACACTAACTTCCACCTGCACTACTCCAGCCCTGTGACCACAACACACTCTTACTACTCCAGCTTTTGTAGTAGATATATTTCTGGAAGCCAACACTTGTATTAGCAGCAAAGAAGAAACTTTCAATTATATAATGTGTCAGCCGCTAGAAACTTCACGTACAGGGAATATCTTGGTACATATATTGAGAGATACATATCTCTTGGTATTTATACAATGAAATGAAATAACCTTTGATGTATTTACACTGAGATACACATTCGGTGAATATACCCTAAATTATGTACCTTTCGGTATATATATTCTCAGATATATACCTGTTCGCGTCTATACAGATAAAAACTTCTTCATGTATATACTCAGGGATACACACCAATCTGTGTATATACACTGAGTGATGCACATTTCTCGGTGTATATTCCTTGTTACTCTAATTTGTGCATACCAAGAACCTCACATACGATAGTTCCATAAGATCTAAATTAACAAACAATATTTTTTTTACAAATGCGTATCACAAAAAGAACAGCATCTAAGGTTAAACATCATGTGATACCAAAAATACAAAAAAAAAAAGGACTTTTTCGTTAGTATCACAAAAATAACACAGGTTTACTACCACAGGATAACTCAGCCAGCGAGTAGTGAAGACATCCCGTTGTTAGCGAGTTATTTAATGTGTGTTAATGACTGGGGAGGTAATTTATGTGTATGACACACAGGTGTTATTACCTGGTATTGACAGAGATGTTACTGGCTTGCGCCACTTCCCCGATGGTAGACACCACCTCCAGTGTCTGCAAAACGTCAAGGCATATTATTATTATTATTATTATTATTATTATTATTATTATTATATTATTATTATTATTATTATATTATTATATTATTATTATTATTATTATCATATGCTCTCATAGGGGAGGGCTAAACCTTTAGGAGGGACTTAGATCATGAGCCCTTCACCAGCCTCGAGGAACCTCCCTAGAAGTGACATTAGTGCCTAGAAAGGCGTTTTCTTCAGCTGTTTTTTCCTTACAGTATGAAGAGAGAGAGAGAAGCAGTTGATTACTTCATGTTAATGTCCTTTTTTGAAACAAGAGCAGGGAAGGATATTAGGATCTGTAGGATATCCTCAGCGCTGCGACTCTGAGGATATTCAACGCTCGGGACGTCCGAAGATATAGACGCCATTCATTAAACAAGAAAACTACAGGCCTAAAGAAAGAGTTAAAATTTCGTACTTTTACTCAAACTGCAATAATAAAAGAGGAACTGAAAAGAAAATGAGAGATAAACAAATTAGGAAGAACATTCTGTAAACAGAAGGCAGCGCTGTAAACAGGAGTCAGGTAAAGACAAGAAAATGAGAGTGCGACACGGATACCAAGTGAAAATATACTGATATTACCACTGATATACTGAAGAGTTTGTTTTTATAATGGCATTGTATTCACAATTATTTACACTTTATTTACAATAACGTATGGATGACTCAAACACTTGAGTCATCCAAGTGGGAGGAAGACTTTTCATGCTGATTACTGCTCCCTCCTGCAGATTTATCGAGATGTAGAAAGTCTTACGCTACTGATAACTGCATATTTAATGGGATGGAGGGGAATTTACCATACTGATAACTCTTCCGTCCCCACAGATTCATCGAGATGGGGAAAACTTACCTTATTAATGGCTTCTTCTGTGTTGAGTGGTTCTCCTGGCATCTCCAGCCTCACAGTCACGTCCCAGTCCTCTGTGTGACAACAACAATCTTGACTAAACTATAATGAAGGTGGAATTTTCCTCTGGTCTCTCTCTCTCTCTCTCTCTCTCTCTCTCTCTCTCTCTCTCTCTCTCTCTCTCTCTCTCTCTCTCTCTCTCTCTCTCTCTCTCTCTCTCTCTCCACACATCATGCCCACCCATTGTCACTCTTTGGCACTCACCGAAGGCCACGGTATATTCACTGAGGGCACACAACACTCACTTAGGGCCACATAACACTCACCGAGGGCCACATAACACACACTCACCGAGGGCCACACAATATTCTGGCACTCACCTAGAGCTACACAGCACTCACCAAGGGCCACACAACACTCACCTAGGGCCACACAATACTCACCTAGGGCCACGCAGTGGGTGGTGTTGATGGAGACGTAGCCAGCAGAACAAGAACAAAAGACTAACTTGACCTGCCACTCCACTCTGAGGTGACAGTTGTGTTGACACCGCAGGAGTCTGCCACACGCTGTTACACACAAAAACACCCACTTAAACTGTGTGTGTGTGTGTGTGTGTGTGTGTGTTGTGTGTGTGTGGTGTGTGTGTGTGTGTGTGTGTGTGTGTGTGTGTGTGTGCAGTTTCTTGTACTCTCCTATTTTGCAGACGTTAGGAATCACACTAGACATCTTCCACAAATCGGGTACAATACTTTTTCTAGTGATGTACCGGAGAGAGAAGCTAGAAACGAAGTTAAATGTTGCGTTCTTTAAGAAGCCTTGAAGACAGTTCGTCGAGGCACTATTCAAGAACCACGACCCAAGTGACTTATTTTACATAATTTATTTTCCTCAGCTTCACTATAATAATAAATTGCTGGGATTTCGTTTAAGTGAACTTTCTGCGAATATAATAATAATATAATAATAAAAATTAATAATTTAATAATATTAAACTACTACTACTATTACTTCTACTGCTACAACTACTACAAATCAATACTACTACAACTACTACTACTACAACTACTCTATTACTTACAAACTATTTACTACTACTTACTATTACTACTGCTACAACTACTATACTACTACTACTACTACTCCCTACTCTACTACTATTTACTACTATACTACTATTACTACTACTACAACTACTACTACTCCTACTAATAATAATAATAATAATAAATAATAATAACAATAGAATAACTAACTTTGATCTGAAGAAGGTATGGTGGTGTAGTGGTACTGACAGAGTGTACCGTGGTAGCCCTGGTCACACACACAGATGCTCTCCCCAGCAACGTACCTGTTGAAGTATCAACAAGGATCGTTAGTGGGTGTCACCTGGAGGTTGTTACACACACACGCACACCACACCACACACACACACACACACACACACACACACACACACACACACACACACACACACACACACACACACACACACACACACGTGTGTTGCATTACCTCAACACCGATCCCTGGTTTCCAACACTAACTGAGGGGTGCCAACACTCACCTACACTCGCCGTGGTCACTGCACCAGCTACGGGGGTCACCGTTGGCACACAGTCCTCCCACCTGGCACTGACGGCCGGTGGCGCCCTCTGTACAGTCGCAGCTGAACCGGAACTTCCTATAAATGCAGTGATGATATATTTATACATATAAAATGTTCAACCCGTGTGGTACATTTTACTTTCCTGACTTAGGTTTATTTGTATATGCATATATAAAATTATTATTTTTTATATATATATATATATTATATATATATATATATATATATATATAAAGAGAGAGAGTGAATGAGAGTGGAAGGAGCGAGTGAGATATACAGGGACAATAACAGGTACCCAACAGCGGGGACACCACAACAACAGGGACACAACAACCACCACAACAACAGGGAAACGGTAATAACAGGGACATAGCAACAGACACTAAGTGACCTAGTACCCCTGTCACTCTCTCATCTGCGCTGAAGAATGAAACGCACATTAGAGTAAATTTTTTTTCAGCGAGTGTGGCAGGGGTACCAAGTTACCTAAGATGGATGCGTTTACCTGGGCAAGTAACATGATTAGTATGGACCGCAACACCCGCCCACAACCACCATATACGCTTCCCTCAGATGATCGAAGTCCCACACACCGAGCCTCTCCATAAATTCCAGTACCGCTCAAACCAACGAATCATTTTCATTTTATATTCTCTCTGCATCTGTTGTTAATACTTTTCGTTATAACTTAATGTGTGTATTAGAGAGCGACAGCACACAGGGTTATTGTGGGGCTGACAAGCAGGAGCTACTGTTAACCTGTGGACAGTGTCACCATCATTATCACCTGTGGACAGTGTCACTATCATTATCACCTGTGGACAGTGTCACTATCATTATCACCCTGGAAGTGGTCACTATCATTATCACCTGTGGACAGTGTCACTATCATTATCACCGGTGGACAGTGTCACTATCATTATCACCTGTGGACAGTGTCACTATCATTATCACATGTGGACAGTGTCACTATCATTATCACATGTGGACAGTGTCACTATCATTATCACCTGTGGACAGTGTCACTGTCATTATCACATGGGTATAATGTCAGTACTATTATCACCTGTGGACAGTTTCACTATCATTATCACCTGTGGACAGTGTCACTATCATTATCACCTGTGGACAGTGTCACTGTCATTATCACATGGGTATAATGTCAGTACTATTATCACCTGTGGACAGTGTCACTATCATTATCACATATGGACAGTGTCACTATCATTATCACCTGTGGACAGTGTCACTATCATTATCACCTGTGGACAGTGTTACTATCATTATCACATGGGTATAATGTCAGTACTATTATCACCTGTGGACAGTGTCACTATCATTATCACCTGTGGACAGTGTCACTATCATTATCACATGGGTATAATGTCAGTACTATTATCACCTGTGGACAGTGTCACTATCATTATCACATGTGGACAGTGTCACTATCATTATCACCTGTGGACAGTGTCACTATCATTATCACATGGGTATAATGTCAGTACTATTATCACCTGTGGACAGTGTCACTATCATTATCACATGGGTATAATGTCAGTACTATTATCACCTGTGGACAGTGTCACTATCATTATCACCTGTGGACAGTGTCACTATCATTATCACATGGGTATAATGTCAGTACTATTATCACCTGTGGACAGTGTCACTATCATTATCACATGTGGACAGTGTCACTATCATTATCACCTGTGGACAGTGTCACTATCATTATCACATGGGTATAATGTCAGTACTATTCTCATCTGTGGACAGTGTCACTATCATTATCACATGGGTATAATGTCAGTACTATTATCACCTGTGGACAGTGTCACTATCATTATCACCGTGGACAGTGTCACTATCATTATCACATGGGTATAATGTCAGTACTATTATCACCTGTGGACAGTGTCACTATCATTATCACATGGGTATAATGTCAGTACTATTATCACCTGTGGACAGTGTCACTATCATTATCACATGGGTATAATGTCAGTATATTATCACCTGTGGACAGTGTCACTATCATTATCACCTGTGGACAGTGTCACTATCATTATCACCTGTGGACAGTGTCACTATCATTATCACATGGGTATAATGTCAGTACTATTATCACCTGTGGACAGTGTCACTATCATTATCACCTGTGGACAGTGTCACTATCATTATCACATGGGTATAATGTCAGTACTATTATCACCTGTGGACAGTGTCAGTGCCATTATCTAAATAATTGTTTTTTTCTGACGGAATAAGAAAGTTTTCCCTGACGCCGGTGTTGGTCATACTATGTCCAGCTCAGTGGAGCTTTTGGTCACTTGGCAGAGACCTTGTCCTGGCTTATCGGTTCACTTAGAGGTTGTAAGGTTGCCATATCCCAGCATTATATGTGGCCATCTTGCAGCCTCCACACGCTGACTTAACCTTAAGCCTGATAGCAGGTGACCTCCAAGAGACCTTATAGTAGCTTCTTTTGACCTTACACAGACTTTGTTTACCTTTTGAAAATATCACTGGGGGCCTCACAGTACCGGTAGCCCAGGGACCTACAAAATATCACTGGGGGCCTCACAGCACCGGTAGCCCAAAGACCTACAAAATATCACTGGGGGCCTCACAGTACCGGTAGCCCAGGGACCTACAAAATATCACTGGGGGCCTCACAGTACCGGTAGTCCAGGGACCTACAAAATATCACTGGGGGCCTCACAGTACCGGTAGTCCAGGGACCTACAAAATATCACTGGGGGCCTCACAGTACCGGTAGTCCAGGGACCTACAAAATATCACTGGGGGCCTCACAGTACCGGTAGCACAGGGACCTACAAAATATCACTGGGGGCCTCACAGTACCGGTAGTCCAGGGACCTACAAAATACCACTGGGGCCTCACGTTTCCGGGAGGGCCGGGACCTACAAAATATCACTGGGGGCCTCACAGTACCGGTAGCCCAGAGACCTACAAAATATCACTGGGGGCCTCACAGTACCGGTAGTCCAGGGACCTACAAAATATCACTGGGGGTCTCACAGTACCGGTAGTCCAGGGATCTACAAAATATCACTGGGGGCCTCACAGTACCGGTAGTCCAGGGACCTACAAAATATCATTGGGGGCCTCACAGTACCGGTAGTCCAGGGACCTACAAAATATCACTGGGGGCCTCACAGTACCGGTAGTCCAGGGACCTAAAAAATATCACTGGGGGCCTCACAGTACCGGTAGCACAGGGACCTACAAAATATCACTGGGGGCCTCACAGTACCGGTAGTCCAGGGACCTACAAAATATCACTGGGGGCCTCACAGTACTGGTAGTCCAGGGACCTACAAAATATCACTGGGGCCTCACAGTACCGGTAGCCCAGGGACCTACAAAATATCAATGGGGGACTCACAGTACCGGTAGTCCAGGGACCTACAAAATATCACTGGTGGCCTCACAGTACCGGTAGTCCAGGGACCTACAAAATTTCACTGGGGGCCTCACAGTACAGTCAGTCCAGGGATCTACAAAATATCACTGGGGGCCTCACAGTACCGGTAGTCCAGGGACCTACAAAACATCACTGGGGCCTCACAGTACCGGTAGTCCAGGGACCTACAAAATATCACTGGGGGCCTCACAGTACCGGTAGTCCAGGGACCTACAAAATATCACTGGGGCCTCACAGTACCGGTAGCCCAGGGACCTACAAAATATCACTGGGGCCTCACAGTACCGGTAGCCCAGGGACCTACAAAATATCACTGGGTGCCTCACAGTACCGGTAGTCCATTGACCTACAAAATATCACTGGGGGCCTCACAGTACCGGTAGCCCAGGGACCTACAAAATATTACTGGGGGCTTCACAGTACCGGTAGTCCAGGGACCTACAAAATATCACTGGGGGACTCACAGTACCGATAACCCAGGGAACTACAAAATATCACTGGGGGCCTCACAGTACCGATAACCCAGGGACCTACAAAATATCACTGGGGGCCTCACAGTACCGGTAGTCCAGGGACCTACAAAATATCACTGGGGGCCTCACAGCACCGGTAGTCCAGGGACCTACAAAATATCACTGGGGCCTCACAATACCGGTAGTCCGGGGACCTACAAAATATCACTGGGGGCCTCACAGTACCGGTAGTCCAGGGACCTACAAAATATCACTGGGGGCCTCACAGTACCGGTAGCCCAGGGACCTACAAAATATCACTGGGGCCTCACAGTACCGGTAGTCCAGGGACCTACAAAATATCACTGGGGGCCTCACAGTACCGGTAGTCCAGGGACCTACAAAATATCACTGGGGGCTCACAGAACCGGTAGCCCAGGGACCTACAAAATATCACTGGGGGTCTCACAGTACCGGTAGTCCAGGGACCTACAAAATATCACTGGGGGACTCACAGTACCGGTAGTCCAGGGACCTACAAAATATCACTGGGTGCCTCACAGTACCGGTAGCCCAGGGACCTACAAAATATCACTGGGGGCCTCACAGTTACCTGGAGGTTATTCCGGGGATCAACGCCCCCGCGGCCCGGTCCACGACCAGGCCTCCCGATGGATCAGGGCCTGATCAACTAGGCTGTTACTGCTGGCCGCACGCAGTCCGACGTACGAGCCACAGCCCGGCTGATCCGGCACCGACTTTAGGTATCTGTCCAGCTCTCTCTTGAAGGCAGCCAGGGGTTTATTGGCAATTCCCCTAATGCTTGATGGGAGGCTGTTGAACAGTTTTGGGCCCCGGACACTTATGGTGTTTTCTCTTAGTGTACCAATGGCGCCCCTACGTTTTATTGGCGGCATTTTGCATCGCCTGCCCAGTCTTTTACTTTCGTAGGGAGTGATTTCTGTGTGCAGATTTGGGACCATTCCTTCCAAGATTTTCCAAGTGTAGATTATGATATATCTCTCCCTCCTGCGTTCCAACGAGTACAAGTCAAGTGCTTCCTAAGCGTTCCCAGTAGTTAAGGTGCTTGACAGAACTTATACGTGCAGTAAAGGATCTCTGTACACTCTCTAGATCTGCGATTTCACCTGCTTTGTATGGAGATGTTAATGTA